GTATGCCTCTTTACATTTAGGAGGCGAAGATTCTATAAATTCTCATTGGCCAAACACAATTCTCCAAAACGAATATATGAATACATCTACATCATCTACTTAGGCCTATTTTAGTGGTTTTACAACGAATCTTTTAAGAGACACAGGTTACTATGCTGAAATAAACGCCTCTATGGAAGAATAAATTTTTATGGAAAAGGAAAAGGCTGCGAATACGTCATGCGCAAATGTGATACTACTTTTAGAGAATATTGTAATCCTGAAACTGACGTTGGAATATGTGACTTTTATCACCATAGTTTTGCTAATTGTAAAGCTGGTTTATATAATGATTCTGATTGTAATAATTTATTTGCCTACAAAGATGGAAAATGCTGGGATATTAATAGTATATATAATAAAGAAGCTTATACAAAATAAAATGGAACTAAATTTGGTACTGATTCGAAATGTTTTAACGGAACCTTATTGGGTAAAAAATATAAAAAAAAAGATAAAATACAGGGCAATTGCTATTAATATGAATGTAGTACAAATGGATAATAACTCACTATATATGTAGGATAAGTAAAATTAATTTCTGTAGTGCCAATGGAATATGCTTAAATAATCAATGTCTTTGTCTTGAAGGATTCTTTGGAGCAGATTACTCGAGTGATAAGCCTATTTGAGTAGAATAAAAATGTTCAAATAAAAATTAAAAAAAAAATTATATATTTTATATATGAATATTTATATAATTTATAAAAAATAAAAATAGTAATATTTTATTTAAAAAAAAAATATAAATTATTAAGATAAGTAAACTTGAACTATAAATTATATATATTAAAAAACTATTTTAAAAAACTATTTATAAAAATAAATATTTTTGTAAATCTTTTCGTTTATTTAAAATTCATTTTTTTTTAAAAAAAAAGGCTATTCAATTTTAATAACTTTATTAATTTAAATAAATTCATATATATATAAATTTGGAAACAGAAATAAAATTAAATATATAAATACATATTTATTTATTTTTATATATATCATTTAAAAGGAAAATAATAAATATATTTATTAAATGCTTTTATTATTATTTAGATTAATCTCTATATGCCTATTAAAAAATATACCAAATCAAAGATCCTTTAAAATTTTAATAAATTCAATAAAGGTAAACAATTTTTCAATTAAAATTTTTTTAAATTTAGAAATTCAGTTCTTCTTTGTTTAATTTTCAAACATAATATTTTCTCATCAATTTATTGTTTAACTAAATTTTTTAAAAAATTATTGATTTATATTAATTTTTGACATATACAACTCTTTTTAATAAAGTTAGTTATAAATTCTTTATCATAACCATCTCTATTGTTTATAAACTAAATTATTTTCACAGAAAGTAATAATTCCTTATTTTATATAAAACAAATAATAGAATATCTACACTAAATTATTTAAAGAATAATTCTGTCATAAAATTTATCAAATTTTTATCATATTTTCCAATAAAAACTTATTAGAATTGAAAACAAGGATTTTTATTTATTTATTTTTCGAAAAAAAATAGAATTTTTTTCTTCCATATTGTTAATGCTTTAGCTTAAATTATATTTTAAATAACTATTTAATTGATTTTTTTAATTAAAAGTTAAAATATATCAAAAATTCCATTTATTATAATAAAAATTATATAATTATTTTTTTATTTATTAAATTAATTTAATTTATTTTTATATTTTTTATTCTAATTTTTTTATTTATAATAAATATCTTTTTAAATATAGTATATATATTTAGTATATTATAGTATTTTTTGTTTGAATAATATTCTAATGGTATCTGTGAAATGTTTAGTTAATTCTAAAAATCGTATTATAATAAAATAATTAAAATAAATTTACATATATTTATTATAATATAAATTATAAAAAAATATTATATTATTTTATTTTTATTTTATTTATACTTTTTATTATAAAAATATTTTTATTCTATAAAATTAATATAAATTATTCAAATGTATATAGATAACATTGTTTTAATATTAATATTTTTTATTTTTATTATTATGTAACAAGTATCGGCAACATTTGTTAAGGCAGTTTAAATTATTTTATTAACTTATTGTAATAAATAATAATTATTGTTAGAATATATTAATGAAATATTAGATTCATTTTTTATTATTTTTTTTACCAAATTAAGGTTTAAAATTATATAAAAGTTATAAATATGATTTGATAAGTTCTAGTAATAAGTATGTTTTTTTTTAAATTAAAAAGGATATGCTTAAATAAAGAAAAAAAAATTATATATTTTGTATGAATTAAATTATTATCAATAATTTATTAATTTATTTTTATTTTTTATAAAATAAAAACAAAATAAAATATATAATCACAATTATTTTTATTAATAAATTAATTTTAGATTATTTTTTTAATATTTAAAAAATTATAATATATTATAAATTAATAAATATATTCTTTTATAATTTAAATTTTTATAAAAAAATATAAATTTTTTATAATATTTAATAAATAACAATAGAAATTAATAAAATATAGTTTTGTAATGTAAATTAAGTTTTAATATTAACTAAATCATTTATCAATTTAAATTATATGTTTATTTGTAAATTATTATTTATTAAAAAAAATTCTAAATTTATAATTTAATATCTTTTATATTTTCATTTTAGATATAATTTACATAATTTTTTATATTTTATATCATAAAATTAAAAAGAATTTATAAATATTAAAAATATATCTTATTTTTATTTTTAAATATAATATATTTATATATATAAAATATATTAAATATATATATATATAAAAATATATATATTTATTTATATATATATTTATATTATTTTCTCACATTTTTTAACTCGATTCTATCTATATTTTTTCTCCTTTTAATTTATTTTTTTTACTACAAATACTTATTATAATATATAATAAGCAAGCAATTAAAATACACAAAATAATAGCTAAAAGTATCCAAAAACCTATATACCAGAACATATTTTGAGTTTATTTAGGCTAATCTTATTTTTTACAATAAGAGTTATAGTCTTTTTATATATATTCTGATAATAATGCTTTAAAATCATTATATTTACATATATCTTATCCGTTGCAAATATTAATATATTTACCATTATATTTAACTTTAATATAATGTTAATCTTCTTAATCATCTTTATATAACTCGAAAGCATAATTTGATGCAAACTCAGGTATTAATTCACATAATTCAGTTTATTATTATTATAATTTATAAGATTAAAGGCATTCTAAACTCGTTTATTTGAAAACCATCATAATAGGATTTAAATTTGTATCATGAGTTGATGCTATAGTTATTTTATGAACGTTTTTATTTTTATTTTAGATTCAAATTCTTGCAAAAGGAATTTGATATACGGAGTTAAAATTAACCTATTTAGTAAAGGAGTGAAATGTGTAACAGCCTTATAATATGCTTAAATATACTTCAAGAGTTCATACTCTTCTTAGGTTATATTGTAATAAATACCTATATATCTTGAAGAAATTACCCAGTCTGTAAAATCATTAATATTATCGATTTAAAAAGTATGACTTATGCCTACTTTTTCTAGCTATTTATATCACTTAATTTTCATATTTTTGGTAAAATTCATTTAACATTCCGATGTTTTCCTAAAGGCTTTCTGCTCTGAGTTTTGTTTTTGAAGGTTTACATATAAATCTAAGAGTATTTTATTCATCAGTATATTATTATATCACATATGGATAAAAGCCTTCAGGTAAAGCAAACTTTAAATTATTATTATAAATAAAATTATTTACTTATTATGCAGGTTATTATTATTAATATAAATGATATGGAGCTTCTTTTAAATCATTATCTAAATTTTCAAAGTAATGTTATACCAGTTCTGAGAGGATATAAGCCAATTAAGAAACTTTATAAACTCTATAAAGTTCTATTTACATTAGAAGAAAATGCATATATACTATTAACATCGTAATTTCCTGGAAGAAATTTTTAATTAGTAACATAATCTTAACGTATAAGAGTGCCTAAATTATACTGTTAAAGCATGCCAACTGATGATAATTATCCTTCTCTTTCTTTATAATAGAGATAATAAGGCTTATCTTTTATTAACTCAGGATAAAGTGAATATCTTGCTCCGTGACGGATAGCTATTTAAACCATTGTAAGATTTAAAGCAGAAAAAGATTTATTTATTGAAATAACAAAAAGTAAACATTTTAGAAAAAATATCATTTTAAATAATTTATTTAAAATTTTGAATTTTGAATATTTATAAATAAATATATATATATAATTGTTAAATAAATAAATATATATATAAATATATATATTTATATATATATATATACATATATATATATATATATTCTATTGATTATATAAATTTATATTTAATATATATATTTAGTACATACTAATTAATTTTTATTTAATTATATAGAAAATATTATATCAATATTTTTCTGATCTCTTATTAAAAAAAATATATATTAGTATTAAAATACTATTTATATTATATTTAATAAAGTTAATTAAATAAAATATATAGATAAAAATAATTTTATTATATATTTTATTATAAAATATTAGTTCTATTTTTTTAAAAAATTATATATGTATAAATAATATAAAATACATATATAATATTAATGATATAAAATAAATAATATGATAAATTAAAGATATTTTGATAATCATAATAATAAATTTTTATTTAATATAATTTTTTTAATAAATATATTTAAATAATTTATTTAATATGTCACGATAATAATTTTAATATGTTATTGTAAATTAATCATAAATATCTTTATATAAATTTAGTATTAATTCAATAGTTTTATTAAATAATATATATAAATATATAAACAATTAATTTTTTTATTATATATTTTTTTTTTATATTCATATTTATTTATAAAAAATTTTAAAATAAATAAGATTTTTAAAAAATAAATACAAAAAGTATATTTACTTATTTAATTTTAAATTATTAATATACAATATTTATTTTTTTCATAAAATAAATAAAACTTAATAATATAATAAATTCAAAAATGCATTTGATATATTCTTTTGTTTAAATAAAATACACAATTTATTATTTTTTTAGATTGAAATTAATTAAAATTTCCTTTTAAATTCGTTACTAATATAAATATTGCTTGATATAATTATTTTTATATTTTAAAATTTATTTTGAAATTCTTTTTATTCTTTTATTAATTTTTAATTTTCTATATAAACGTTATATATATTATAATTTTAGTTTTTATTTTTTATTTATTTTGGGATTTTTTATTTTTAAAAAAATTCTTTAATTCATTTTATGATTTTTTTTTTTACTAATATCCGAAAAATTGATTTTTTTAACCATTATATATTTATTTAAAATAAAAAAGCACACATTTACAAAATTAAAAATTTCTATCTTTTAACATTTTTTGAAAATTTTTATTAAAAAAAATTAAATATATATTATATAATATTTAAATATATTTTTTATATGTCATATTTTAATAATAAATATTATAATAATCATATAAAATAAATTAAATTAAAATATATTATTTATAAGTACTTATGTCAATAATAAAATAAATTTAAATTTGTTAAAGTATTAAAAACTTTAAATTATTTTAAATATTTTTTAATTTATTTCCTAAAAAATTTATAGATCAAAATAAAGTTAAGAATCAAATAATTATCATTTATTTGATTTAGATTTTTAAAAATTATAATAAATTATATATTTATATTTAAAAAATGCATATATATATATATTTATTTATATAAATTTTAATAATTGCATAAATTAAATTTAATCTTAATTTATTTTTATAAAAAAAAAAATTAATTTTATTTAATACTTTTTACAAGTACTCTGCATTTTAAAATTAGATAAAATTGTCTATTTTGAATTAATAAAAATAAGTGAAAATATTTAAACTAAATTATATAAAAATACTAAAATATAATAAATAATAAAAATAACATTTAAATATATTAAATTCTATAATAAAATAATAAGCATTTACTTATATTTATTATATTTTTTTACTCTTACAACTAAAATAAATATTATAATTCACAAATGCAATATAATTAAACTAATTATTTTTTTATTTTTAAAAAAAAAACTTCTGTAAAAATAAAAAATGAATAATATAAATTCAAATATAAATAAAATATTAATTTATACTAAAATTAATTTAATTATTATTATATTATTATAAAAAAATAGATATAAAAAAATTTAAAATTACGCCTACAACAAAACAATTTTTAATATATAACAAAAAAAAGTAAATAAAATAGAAAATAAAAAAAAATATTATAACCTTATTATTAATATTTATATATTTTTAATCTAAAACTCATTAAACAATATGTTTCCACAATAAAATGAAAAAAAATATTAATAAAAATATATCTTACTTGACATGAAATCTTTATATATCCGTAATTTACAAATAAAAGTCCACATAATATTTCAAAACATTACCTTCAAATGCTTAAAATAAAATGTTAACTGCTACTGCAAAAAATCCATATAATTTGCAATCGAATATTTTTTTCTAATTTAATAAAAATAATCCCAAGATCTAAATTATAAATGATATATTGAAATTTTGAATGTAAAGATATTGAAGTTCCTACAATACATGTGACTATAGGAAAAAATTCTGTATAATATAACACAAATGAAGTAGAAGATTTTTAAGCCTAATCATATACGTGTTAATTATACTTGGTGGTGAAGATTCTGAAAATTCTAATTGGTAAAACACAATTTTACAAAACGAATATATGAATACATCATCTATATCATTGACTTAGGCTTATTGTAGTATTGTAGTGGTTTTACAGCCAATATTCTAAGATACACATGTTACTATGAGGAAATAAACGCCTCTATGGAAGAATAAATGTTTTATGGAAAAGGAAAAGGCTGTGAACATGTTATGGGTAAATGTAGAACTTCAACAAGAGAATATTGTAATCCTGATACTGACTAATTATTATGCGATTTTTACCACCATGGATCTTCTAAATGTAGAGTTAGTATATTTGAAGATCAGGGAACCAAATTTGGGATTAATTCATGATCTTTTAATGAAAATTTATTGACTAAAAAAAACATATTTAAAAAAATTATAGGTAGTTGCTATAAATATGAATATAATTATAATGTATAATAATTCACTATATATGTAGGATAAATAAAACTTATTTATAGATAAAATTTAGAAGAAAAAAAAAGTAGAAAATTATAATGGATATATTTTATATTAGGAAAGCATACAAGAGTTTTGTAAGGTTAAAAAAAATATGCATGAATTTCTGTAGTACAAAAGGATATTGCTTAAAAATAAATATCGTTTTAAAAAAGGATTCTTTGAAGAAGATTGCTCTAGTAATAAACAAATTTGATAAAAATAGACATATTTACTTTTCATATTTTATACAAATAATTTATATTTAAAGAATATATATAATTATAATTTTTTATTTAGAAATGAAATGAAATTAAAATAATTAATTTATTTATTATAAAAATTATATTTAAATTATAAAAAAAATGTATATAAATTAAGAATTTTTATTAAAAAATATAAATGAATAAATTTTTAATTATTAATAAATTAAATAAAAAAAAATATAGTTAAACATATTAAATAAAATTAATTTTTTTTTTAAATATCATATTTCAAAATCTATTAAAGTTCTTTTATTTTAACAATAAGAAATATATAGAAATTTATATAATTAAAAAAAAAAATTAAAAATTAAATTTTTATGAAAGTATAATTGATAAAAAAAAAATTATATGATTTGTGTTTTATAATAACTTATTGTTTAGTTTTTTAATATTAAATCTTCAAATCGTTATAAACTTAAAAATTTTAATTTGACATTTTTAAATATATAATAAAATAATTAAAAATTAAATATATATATTTATAAAATTAACTTAAATAATATATAATTTTTGTTTTGTAAAGCATATATGACATTTTTATTTTTTAATTCATATATATATTATATATATATATTGCATAGTTAAAATTTTATCTTTTAATATATTGTAAAGTTAATATTTATATATTTTTAAAATATTATGTTTATAATTTAAATATATAAATTTTATAATAAAATATAAATTATATTATAGTAAATTTTTGTAAATATTTTATATATATATATATATATATATATATATATATATATATATTTATATAATATTTTTTAATTTATTTATTTATATATGTAACAAATTTAATAATACATTTTAATTATTTTTTTTATATTAAAAATTTTATTCGATATTTATAAATAGAAACTATTTCATATATGTGTATATTTTTTTTATTCATTATAATTATTTATTTTAAATTCAATTTTAACAAACTAAATTTTATATGATTGATTTTATATCGACATAAATTAAATATAAAAAACAATCATTAAAATTTAGATTTATAAAATTATATTTCATATAAAAAAACTTTATTAATAATATAATTTTTAAAAAATAAAAAAATTAATAATAATAAAAAAACTATATTAAAATAAAATATCATAAAAGTTAAAATATAATATGAAAACTATAATATAATATTGATGTTAATTTTTAGAATCGGCAAACACAAATGTTTCGATAATTAAATGTAAAAAAATCTATAAAAGTTCATAAATGTTTCTAAATCCAATTAATATTTTTCTTTTTAATAAAAAATATTGTAAGATTAAATCAAATATGAAATATTATTAATATTATTCCAAATGTGGGTTAATTTAAAAGATATAATATATAATTTTAATAACTGAACAATACGTCTGATTTGTTATAGCTTAAAAAAAATATGTCAGGATTTCCGTAATAAAATGCATATGTTCTAAATATTAAACATTTATGATAATGAATTCAATAAAAATAATTAAGATTTAAAATACACTATATATATTTATGAATATTTACTATTATATATAGAAAAAGAAAACTTTTTATTTATTTATTCAAATTATATGTTTTTTTATAATTATATTATTTTTATTATGGTTAAGAATATTAGTTTTTTAATTTTAATATTTTTTTTTGTTAATAATGTTATTATTATTTAACATATTAGACAAAACATTATGATTAAAGGAAGAATTAAAGTGAAATGATAAAGTTAAACAATATTATAGAATTTTAAATTAATAATTAAAGATTTAAATAATTATTAGATAATAATTATATAACAAAAATAATTTAATTAAAATAATATATTTTATAAAAAAGTAAATTATTAACTTATATATGCATATATATTCAAATTTATATATTTAAATATTTATGTAATTAATATTTATTATTTTTTATTAAAAAAAATAATATAAAAAAACTCTCTCTTTTTTTTTTTTTTTTCTAATAAATTAAAAAATAGTAAATAATATTAAAATTATATTTATTTTTTTAATAAAACTAAAGCTAAAACTTTAAAAAATAAAAAATCGTATTTTATTTCATATTAGTTTTTAAAAAATAATATAACTTAAATATATTTAGATATTTAAGTTATTTTATATATAATTTTATTTATATATAAATATAATTACGAAGATATTATATTTTCAGTGAAACTAATGTAATTTGAATATGATGAATAAGAGTGTATCTTTTGAATGTAAAATTTTATAAAAATAATGGTTTCTATACTATATAATTATACTAGATTCGTATATAGTTTTAAAAACTAATTTATTAAAAAATAAATATTAATAAGAAAATACAGAACATAATATTTTGTTTAAAAATTCAAAAAATATATAATTAATTTGCTAAATTCAAAAAAAAATTATTTATATGTATTTTTATTAATTATATATATATATTGAAAGAGCATGTATGTATTTTATTTAATTAATTAAATATTCAGATTGATTATAATTTTGATTATTTTGTGTAGGCTATTTTTTTTTTTTCAGAAATATATTTATTTTAATTTTTTATTAATAAATAAGTTATTTTATTTCTAATTAAAGTTATTTTTAAGTTTTTTATACATTATTTTTAAAAAATAGATATAATTCTTTTTTCTGTAAAAAATATTATATGTATAATTTATAAGATTTAATTGTAAATAATATATATTCTAGGCATATATTATCTATAATAACCCAAAACATGAGTTATATATATCCAAATTACTAATTATATTAAACATTTAATTTAAAAAGGACAATTCCAATCTATATCTTAAAATTAAAATAAATATAGAGATTATCTAAATAAGTAGTAGGTTAAAGAAGATTTAAAATAAGCTAAATTATCATTTTGATTCGCAATAATCATATAGAACATATATTGCTTTTTAATTTTTTTTAAAAAAAACACAATTGAGTAAAAAAATAAAAAAAAATACTCTTTTTATTATTGTATTTTTCAAAAATATATAAAAAAAATAAAAATAACTAACTATGTTAAAGAGTGATATATAAAAATCAAATTTTTAATCCAAATATATGTCTTTATAATAAAATTATATATTTATATATAAGTTATTATTATTTAATTTTGGGCTTTTAAATAATTGATTTATACTGAATAATATTTTTGATTATTAATAATTAATTTATTTATTTAAAATAAAATATATTATATTATATAAAAAATATTTTAATATGCTATTATTAAATGTTATTTTTATATTTCCACATAAAAGAAAGCAAGAGAAAAAAGAAGAAAAGTAATTAAAATAATTAAAAAAAAATATAGATTAAATATTAAACAGATTAATTTATATTGCAAATAATGTTTAATAAAAATTTGCTTTTTATTATAATTATTATTATATATAAATATGAAAACATTTTTATTAGTTTGAATTTAATTAAAACATTTAAAAAAAAAATATATATTTGCCAATTTAGATAATTTTCTATATTATTTATTATAAACATTAATATTTTTAAATTATATTTTAAAAAAAAATTCATAATAAATTTTATTTATAAAATTTTTAAAAAATATGATTTATTTTGTATTTTATAATAAAAAAAATATATATATATATATTTTTTTAATTAATATAACATTAAATTATTTATTATTAATTTAAATAATTTTAATTAAAAACCAAAAAATAAAAATTACATTTTTAAATATATATAATATATAAAATTTATAATAATTATATAAATTTCACATATATTTAATTTCAAATTAGAAGAGTTATTATGATTCATTGAAATTTAAAATATTAAAAAAATAATATATAAATAAAAAAAACTTTTTAAGTAAATAATAATTAAAATTTTTATAAAAAAAAAATTGTTTATATAAAGAAAAAGATAAAATAAATAAATTATAATAAATATATATAAAAATATTTAAAATATATATAAATATATATTTATATTATTATTTATATTTATATTTAATATTAATATATAAAAATAAAAACTATATAATAAATATTTTATAATATAACTATATTTAAAATATATTTTTTTTTTAAATTTTTTTTTTTATTCATTTTTAAATAAAAATAAATCTTTATTTTAACCTTTTTTAAAAATTAATACAAATTAAATAATAGATGTTGAGAATATAAATATATTTATTTACATTACATAAAATATATAAATTTTTTTTAAATAAAAATAAATGTAATATTTTTTTTATTATAACTTTAATATTTTATATACTACTACAAAAAAAATTATTTTATGAAATATTATTTATGATAATCATTAATCTTTTACAAAAAAAAATTTTATTTTTTTAAAATTTAATTATATTTAATAATATTTATTATGATATATAATTTTATTTAAGTTAAAACTATTTATTATACATAAAATAAAAATATTTTTTTATAGAAAATTAAATAATTATCATTATAAATATAATTTAAAATTTTACTATAAACATAAACCTTTATTCAAAATATATTAAATTAAAAATTAACAAATAATAAATAAGTCAATTTAAAAAATGAATAAACTCATTATATCTTTATCAATAATAACCTGTATTTTTAGTTTAAAAGTTCTTAAACACTAATGTGCCCATGACAAAATGTAAAAATTATACAAATCAGAATCAATCACACCTGATATTGAGTCTTAAGATGTCCGTAATCTAATTAAAAAAACCCCTCGTAATATCGTAATCACCTACGATATGACTTATTTCTAATCATTAAATTAAAATTAATCTTATAAAAAAGTAATTAATTATTGCGAGAAAGCGATAAAATTAGCAATTGAATATTTTTCTCGTCTAATAAAAATAATCCCAAGATCTGAATAAAATATGAGAATAAAAAATACTAAATGCGGAATAGTTACTATTCCTCAAAAAGATAAATCTAAAGGATAAAATTCTGATTTACATTTATATATATCATATAAAATTGAAAATGATAAAGAATATTTAGCCTATGCATTATAGTGTTAACATGTAGCAGGCATAGGACCTACTCATGGTTCAATTAACTTCAATTTAGATAAAATGCCAAAGTTCGAATAAAATGCTTTTATTGAATTTGAAGATTTAATGGAAGTAGTTATCCATGAAATAACTCATGTATTAGGTTTTAGTGATCATGATATGTCTAAATGGATATTACCTAAGGGAACTACTCATGCTTTTGTTACAACAAAAATAAAGGAAGTTAATACTGTGTTGCTCAAAACTCCTAACGTTTTGAAGTTTGCTCGAGAATATTTTGGATGTTCTATCTTAGAAGGTATGCCTCTTTAACATTTAGGAGGCGAAGATTCTGTTAAATTCTCATTGGCCAAACACAATTATCCAAAACGAATATATGAATACATCTACATCATCTACTTAGGCCCATTTTAGTGGTTTTACAACGAATCTTCTAAGAGACACAGGTTACTATGCTGAAATAAACGCCTCTATGGAAGAATAAATGTTTATGGAAAAGGAAAAGGCTGTGAATACGTCATGCGCAAATGTGATACTACTTTTAGAGAATATTGTAATCCTGAAACTGACGTTGGAATATGTGACTTTTATCACCATAGTTTTGCTAATTGTAAAGCTGGTTTATATAATGATTCTGATTGTAATAATTTATTTGCCTACAAAGATGGAAAATGCTGGGATATTAATAGTATATATAATAAAGAAGCTTATACAAAATAAAATGGAACTAAATTTGGTACTGATTCGAAATGTTTTAACGGAACCTTATTGGGTAAAAATATAAAAAAAAGATAAAATACAGGGCAATTGCTATTAATATGAATGTAGTACAAATGGATAATAACTCACTATATATGTAGGATAAGTAAAATTAATTTCTGTAGTGCCATGGAATATGCTTAAATAATCAATGTCTTTGTCTT